GGATATCACCGCCATGGACTAGACGCGGCAGGCGGTGGTGCAGGCCTCCCGGCTGCCCATGTCCATCATCATCGTGGGGGTGGGCAACGCCGACTTCGCCGCCATGGAGTTCCTGGACGGGGATGGGCGGGTGCTGCGCTCCCACACCGGCGAGGAGGCCCTGAGGGACATCGTCCAGTTCGTGCCCTTCCGCGATTTCCGCAACGTGAGTGCGGGCGGCGGGAGGGGGTCCCAGGCAGAAAGTGTAGGGGGAGGTGTTTCTCAAACCTGGACGTGGAGCAGCCCTTGGGTAGGAGGAGGCAGAAGGTTCAGGGAACCCAGCTAAACCCTTGGCAGGGCTGGCGTGGACTGAGTCGGTGCTGCAGGAGGGGACAGGCAGGTGCAGCTGTGCCCTGCAGCTCCATCTGAGCATCTCCCCTTCTCTGCTGCGCCTCGTCAGAAGAAGTTAATTACAGCAGCGTCCTGCCAGCGAGCTGGGGTGGGTCTGGGCTCATGTCCCTCCCCACAGCCCCAGGCTGGTGCCCCCCACATCCAGCCCCCACGACGTGCCATGTCCTGGAGGCTCAGTGCTGGGCTGTCCGTGTCCCGGGTGTCAGACCCGGACCCCCGGACCCTCCCTGCACCTGTGGAAGGGCTGATGCCAAGACTGGCCCTGCACGTGTCCCCTCTGTGGGGTGGCTTCCCACCACCACTGCCCAACCCACTCTGGGGGCCTGGAAAAAGGCTGATGAAAGAAGGAAAAAAGGAAGCAAAAGCTCCGATGTGATGCAGGAGTCAGCCCAGCGTGGCTGCTGCTGCCACTGCCAGAGGATGCCAAAAATCAGGCAGTGCTCATCTTCCCCCTTCTTGCAGATCACCAGAGTGTCTCCATTCTTTAGAATCCCAGACTGGTTTGGGTTGGGAGGAACATTAAAGCTCATCCAGTCCCAACCCCCTGCATGGGCAGGGACACCTCCCACCAGCTCAGGCTGCTCCAAGCCCCATCCAACCTGCCCTTGGACACTTCCACGCCTGGTCTTCCCACCCTACTGAGGCTGTTTTGTTCCCACCATCCCTGCCTTCCCTCCTGGGGGGCTGGTGAGGCCCTGAGCTCCCGGGTGTGGGTGGGATGCAGGGAGCTGGGGCCAGCCTGGCCACGCTGGCTCTGCCCTGAACGCTGGTTGTTCCCTCTCTCCCTCAGGCCCCCAAGGAGACCCTGGCCAAGGCGGTGCTGGCGGAGCTGCCCCAGCAGGTTGTGCAGTACTTCAAGCAGCAGAACCTGCCGCCCATCAACTCGGAGCCGGCCTAGAGCCCCTGCATGTCCCCACAGCCCGACAGCGCAGGAGGGAAGAGCACCCTCCCCAGAAACACTTCCTACTTCTTAATTTAATTGCTAAATTCTTTCCAGTTGCCCCAGAGAAGCGTCTGGCTCCATTTTGTACAGCCCTGGCCCCGGGGGACGCTGAGCAGCCAGGCCAGGCCCTGGCCCTGCTCACTTCAGTCACTTTTCGGTATTGAATGTACTTTGTATCATTTCAGTGGAACAGGATGCAATTTTTACAATTAAAACTTGCTTTTTTTCCAAACAATGAAATGCTTAATATATTCTTCTCATCCAATGAACTGGTCATTGTATAGTTCATGTATTTGTGCTGTGCCTGTACCTCTGTCAGCGCCCCACGTTCATTTTTATACTGTGTACATGTTATATTTGTTATACTCAGGTTAATAAAGAAACTTGGACATTTAGACCAAGAGTCTCCTAGATGGGAAGGTCTGGGAGGGTGGTCAGTGGTGCTGGGCCTTGGGGTCACCCCAGGACGGGCTGTCCTGGTCCCCCAGGTGTTCACCCGAATGGGATCTGCTGAAGGTGGAGGTGAACTCCCCCCATCAGCTAATACTTGGGGGGCAGCACCCCCTTGGTTCTCCCCCCCCAAGTGAATATGGGTGTCTGGGGGCAGGCAGCAACCCTTTGCTTCTCTCATCAGCCAGTATATGGGGGGGCAGCCCCTCCTTGCCCCCCGATGTCCCAGCAGCTGCCCGGGCTGTCCCGGCACCGCCTCGTTTGCAAGGGACGCTCCAGCAAAGCAGCCAAGGAACCAGGCCGGGCAGCACCCCAGCCTGGGGGGGCTCTTGGTGTGTCCTGGGCTGAGGAGCAGCAGCTCTGGCTGCCTGGGGGGGTGATGGGCTGGGCTGTGACATCTGGCAGCTCCCGTCAGGCTCGTGCCACCCTCAGCGCTAATTGCTGCTGCTTCTGCTCAGCGGGATGGGTGGCAGGAGCATCCTGCAGGGATCACACCCTGCTCCAAACTCCGGGAGAATTCAGCTCCTCCCTTCTCCCCACCAGCAACAGGAGGTTGGTCTGTGGAAAGCCTGAAGCCCCCTGCACACGCTGCGTCTGCCGTCTGGCACTCCCGGGATGGCACCGATGTCACTACTGCCACCAGGGCTGCCTCACAGTGTCCGAGCTTGGCCAGAGCTGGGGGTGAGGCCCTGGGGCAGCTCCAGGCACAGCGAGGAGCGACTGAGGGAGCTGGGGGTGTCCAGCCTGGAGAAAAGGGGGCTGAGGGGAGACCTGCTGGCTCTGCAACTGCCTAGGAGACAAGGGTGGGGTGGGTCCTTCTCCCAAGGAACAAGTGATAGGACAAGAGGAAAACACCTCAAGTTGCCCAGGGGAGGTTTAGAGTGAAGATTTTAAACAATTTATTCCCCAAAGGGCTGTCAGGCCCTGGCACAGGCTGCCCAGGGGGCATCCTGGAGGGCTTTCAAAGCCCTGGAGATGGTGCTGAGGGATGTGGGGCTGTGGGGGCCTTGGCAGGGCTGGGTGAGCAGTTGGGCTCGATGATCTTGAAGGTCTTTTCCAGCCACAAGAATTCTGTGATTCTCTGAGATGTTGGTCTAGCAAAGCCCCCTGGAAAGGAAAAACAATCAACCACCATCACCCCTCTTTTCCAAAGGGAGTCACAGCCTTGGCCAGACGTTGTGTGTCAAACTGAGGCTGCAGTTCAGGGCCAGCCTGGGGCTCTGGGAAAACGAGGTGGTTTGTTCTTTCCATGAGAGACCCTGCCATGCAGCTGCACTAGCAAGGAGGCTCTTCTGCTTGGAGACTGTTTGTGGGGGCTGGTTGGGTGGTTGGTGTTGGTTTGCTTTTTTTTTAACACCTCTGCAAAGCTGGAGCAACCAGCCCAGCCAAGGAGCAGTTATGAAGCTGTCCCTGGGGAGGGAGCACATGCAGAGCGAAGGGAGAAGATGCTTCCAAGAACGACACCTAAAGCCACCCCTGACTGAAGTGCTGCTGGAGCTGCTGTTCTCCAGCAGGGACCCGGGGTGAGGCTGCCACCAGAGCTGCCCCCTCCGAGTTGTCCTCCCTCCCTTGCACACTTCACAGCCCAGCTTGTCTTCTGAAGCACAGCAGTGTCATGTCAGATGGTTTCTGACTGTAAGAGGATATATGGGACTAACGGCTGGAGTGAGGACCAGGGCCAGCTCTGCAGCTGCTCTGCAGGGCCATGAGACAAGCAGTGCTGACCCAGCTCTTAAAAATGCAGCTTTTGAAAAACAACCAGCATTTTTTGGCGCTCCACTTCCATTTCACTCCATGGCCAGGTGTGATGGAGGTCACCAAAAGCAAGAGATCTAACTCATTTCCACCTGAAAACACCATAACTGAAGTTGCTAAAGAAGAGGCAGGAGCAACTCAGGAGCAGAGCAGGAGTCAGGCAGCCCAGGAGAACAGGGAAAGAATTAGTGTGTTTGTAAGGACTGATTGTGGAAGGGCTCGTGCAAACAGAGGGTGTTTGGCCAAGAATGCTTCAATGTGAGCAGAACTCTCCTTCCCTTTGAGAAACTTCAGCCTCAACCCAAGGTACAAGTCCTCCCAAAGGCCTGCAGGTCTCACTGCTCTTGGCCCAGCTCTCTCCTACAAGTCACTCAGTGCCACCTTCCAGTCACTGCCCTGTGGCTCCCACCCAGCAGCTGCTCTCTTGCCCTTGGGAGCACATCCACAGAGCAGGGCTGCTGGGAGGGGACTGTCACCAAGACATTCCCACCTCTGAGCAGTCCAGCTGAGCTGCTCCAACTCCACCAGCCTCCCATCAGCACCATTTGCAGGCAGATGAAAGGCCAGGTCCTCAGCCTGGCTTCCTGGTCCACACCACCCCTAAACCTGCCCACATTGGGTTTCTTAGATCCAACAGAGCTTCAAAACCCACAGCAAAGGATGGTGAAGTTGTCCAGCTTCTGCACAAAGAGGTTTGGCTGAACTGGGGCATCCCACCCACTCTGGGTTCATGCTCCTCAGGACACTGCTGCAGAAAAGCTGGGTGACTGGCCACACACCTTAGAGCAGAGCAGACACCTGCAGCTCCTGTGAACCCATCCACGGACAGAGCTTTCCATCACCACCTTCATGTTTGTAGGACACTGGCTTGAACTGGCTTGGATAGTGGTTTGAGGAAGGGGCTGGCTGGGTAGAGCAGAAATTGCTTAATGGAATGGGAACAATTATGAATGGCACAAGCTGAGATTAAAAAAAATGCATTCAGAATGTCTTTAATCATGTAACACTAAAACTTTGTTACAGTGTCATGGTAATAATCTACCCTTCACCATCTGCTTGATTTTTGTTCTGCCCCCATTTCTCAAATACCAAATAAAAATGACATTTGAAAACAGAACACAAGGCTGTTTCCTACAAGACTTCACTGCTTCAAGTGAGTGTTTTTTTGCCTGTTAGTCTTGTAGAAACTTCTTGGATCATCAGCATTCTTGCTTTCCGTAGCAATTTGAAGATAAAGCTCTCTCCTCCCTACCCTCAGACTTTCACTAGATGTGCCTTCTGGTTTGGGGTGGCAAGCTTGTCTCCCAGGCTCTGGATGCATCCCAGGAACGGGAAGTTGGAGGGAGTAAAAGGGGAAAAATAAAAAAGATATGAGTTATTTTAGGAGTATCTGCATGTATTAAAGTGGAGAGGTCAGCTAGGAAGGTTATGTTTGGGGCAGAAGGATGCATCAAGCACCCCCCAGGGCTTTGGAAGATACTCTGCACTACATGACACACGGAGGGGGTTTCCTTATGGACCATCAAAGAAACTGTTGCTACGAAAGACAGAAGAGACAATCTTCCCAGTGGAGTTGATGGTGCCCTCGCTGTCCGAGCTGGACTCCGAGTCGCTGCTCCCTGAGTAGGCGCCCAGGCCGGGCAGGATCCCGATGCAGACGGCGGCTGAGGGGCAGTGCAGGGCTGAGCCCCCCGAGCTGCTCCCCAGGGGGACACAGGGGGGCGGGTCTGCAAGAAAGGGACCTCAGTCAGAAAGGAGAGAACCACAGAATCCCACACTGGTTTGGGTTGGAAGGGACCTTAAAGACCATCCAGTCCCACCCCCTGCATGGGCAGGGACACCTCCCACCAGCCCATGTTGCTCCAAGCCCCATCCAACCTGCCCTTCAACACTGCCAGGGATGGGGCAGCCACAGCTTCCCTGGGCAACCTGGGCCAGGCTCTCACCACCTTCATGGTGAAGAATTTCCTCCTCATGTCTCACCTCAATCTCCCCTCTTCCAGTTTTCATCCCTTCCCCCTTGTCCTCTCTGCCCTTGTCCCAAGCCCCTCCCCAGCTTTCCTGGAGCCCCAACTCTCCCAGCCTGTCTCCAGAGCAGAGCTGCTCCAGCCCTCCCAGCATCTCCATGGCCTCCTCTGGACTTTCTCCAACAGCTCCATCTCCTTCTTGTGCTGGGGACCCCAGAACTGGCCCCAGCCCTGCAGGAGGGATCAGAGTGGGGTCAGGCAGGAGTACAGGAAGGGCTTCCATCAGCTCTGAGCTGGCTTCCAGCCCCTCACCTGCCACTGCCACAGCAGCAGTGGGTGATTGCAGGATTAATTAAAGCACCAGGCAGCTTTAGGCTGCAATAAAACTATTCTGACAGGAAGGACTTGCTACCTCAGGGGATTTTTATTTTTCCCCCTCATCACTAGTTCTAGCTCCAGCTCTGTGCTGCCATTACAGCTTTTTATTCTGAAGTTGTCAGTTTGATGCTTGTCAAGTAGCAAACTCAGTAAATAAGAATAAATAGCTTTGCTGCATGTAATTGAATATTTTTTGGTGTTAGAACAGCATAGTTGGGGAAAAGTTCTATTTCATCGCTCTGTTAGTCAACATCTCCCATCTTTCATGTCTAATTAATTATTTCCAGTGTTCTGAAAGTTTACTGAACAGAAGGAGGTTGAGGAAGTGCCTTGGGTTGTCATTACACCAGTGCAGCTCACTCTGTTCCTGTCAGGGTCTTGACAGCAAGTCAATCCCAGCCCTGACAGCTGAAAATGCAGCTTCATTTTTCCTCTGGTTCACTGGGATATTCTGAAACAAACTGGTTTCAGGATGGGTAACATCACTGCATTGCACAACAGCTGAGTGGGGGGATGAGATGCCTCAAATCACAGAATCCCAGACTGGTTTGGGTTGGAAGGGATATTCAAGACCATCCAGTCCCACCCCTGCATGGGCAGGGACACCTCCCACCAGCCCAGGTTGCTCCAAGCCCCATCCAACCTGCCCTTCAACACTGCCAAGGATGGGGCAGCCTGGGCCAGGGTCTCACCACCCTCACACCAAAGAATTCCCTCCTCATGTCCAACCTACATTTCCCTCTTCCAGTTTTCATCCATTCCCCCTTGTCCTTTCACTCCCTGCCCTTCCCCAAAGTTCCTCCTCAGCTTTCCTGGAGCTCCTTCAGGTACTGCAAGGTGCTCTAAGGTCTGTTCTCTACACTGAACACCTCCAACTCCCTCAGCCTGTCTCCATAAATGCTGCTGTGAGGATGAAAGGGGTGAGCTGTTCTCCAGGTCTCCTGTCGACAGGACAAGCATTAGGCTCAAAATGCAGCTGTGGAGACTCCTAATAATCATCAGGTAAAACTCTTCAAGGGCAAAACCAGTTAAGCATTAGAATAAACTGCCTCAGGAGGGTGCCCCTCACTATCTGTGGAGATCCAAGAGCATCTCAGACAAACATCTGTCAGGAACGGTTTAGGCAGGGGATGGATTGATGACCTGCAGAGGTTCCCTCCAGCCCTTTCCAGGCAGGCTGTCAGTGCCAAGAGTTCCCATCTCTGCTGCTCTAAGAGAGGACCTGCCAGCTGCAGCCTGTGCTGTCTTCCAGAATGAAGGGGCAGAAATCCCAATCCTCTATCATATTTAACAGCCAGTCAGTGGCTGTTCAGGTGGCAGACAGACAAGCTCCCACGTGCAGCAGTCAGGACGTACCTTGATTCTTCTCGTCATGATCACCATCTAGTTTCAACCTCTTCACACTGTTGCCACCATCTGAACTGTGGAAAAAAGGAGAAAGTGTCTTGTTCCTCAGAAGCAACGACTTCATTACTGTGAAATTAAAGTCACATCTTTGTCTCAGATGTCACAGCAAATGCCATCAGGGTCCCCAGTGGCCATCACCACTTCTAACTGCTGCCAACTCGGGCTCCTTGGGGAACATGCAGGATCCTAGAAGTTAACACCTACACTGCAAGTATCACCTGTTCTCCTGGGAAACAGACACACACCTCTGGGAATCCAAGGCAGACCTCTTACACAGTGACCTGAGCTGCCTGTTACACTGGAAGTGTGAGATGAGGAGGGCAGGGGCTGCATGAGCTCCAGCCAGTGGGGATGGTGACCATGCTTGATAGTGCAACAGAGCTGCCTTTCCCCTGCTGGAGCTTCCTTCCCTCCTTCAAGCACTGAGAGAGCTTGTTCTAAAACATGTAGAGATGTTGCACCCTGTAAGAAGCCCAGTAGATTGTACATCCATTCCCACCCAGCTGCAGGTGGGAAGCAGAAAGCAGCCCCTTTGGGTCCAGAGTGGTGCTGGGGGAAAGGAGCATTACTTGGATTCTGCGTTTCCAGAATCCTGCATCTCCTCCTTGTCCCTTCTCAGTTTCTTTTCTCCTTCTGGCATGTTCTCAGTCCTAAATCATTCATATAAACAAATGCTTCCCAGCTTCAGCTGAGCATTTTTAAGCATTAACTCTTTCCTGTCCCTGACAGAACAGCAGAACAATTAAAAGGTTATTCTGTGAGGGGAGGAATAAATCCTGTACAGGAACCTACAAACTCCGAGAGATCCTGAGCTCCCCCTGCACTTGGGTTTGGCCACTTTGCTGTAAAAGATGAGATGGCAAAAATATAAGACTGCAAAGCAAGTCCACAATGGTGCTGGCCTGTCAGTTAAGATGCTCTCCTCAAAGAGATGCCATCTGCAGCCTTCAGATCTGCACCGAGCTCTGCCCAGCTCCTTCTCTACCCCCTGCTGGGTTAAGTCCTGCTAGTTAAAAAAAAAAAAACAAACACTGTTGACTGCTTGTTATCAGTTCAGGGGGTCTCTTTGCCCTCCAAAAACCCAAACAACTAGGCAACCCCCAGTAGGTGGTGGAAGGACTCACTGCATTTCATGTCTGCATGCAACTGCTGCTGCCCTGGGAGCTAAACACACCCTAAAGGTAAGCTGCTAAAATAATTTCTCATTCCCTGGGACAGATTAACACACTGACTGAATTTCTAGGCATCAGGAATCATCTTGTGTCCTAGACTGAGGGAAATAACTTTGGCAGGAATAACTCGGGTTCCACATGCTCAGTTTCTCTGTAACCTGTAGCAGCTGTGTCTGCAAGTCAAGATCAGACCATCAAGTAGCTCCCAAAGCCAGCAAAGAAACAGCTTACAAGCCCAGCTGCCACCCCCTGGGGTGGAAAGGGTGTTGATGGACCACTGCAAATCAGGGAGGAGCCAGGGAAGTTTGCCTGATGCTGTCAGGATCAAAGGGGCACCCAAAGCTCTTCTCTCCTAAAACCCACCCACCCCCGTGCTGCCCTCAGCACCAATTATACCCACCAATTTTAGACACATAAATGATGCAAACCTGAATGAAATGACATGAGTGAGGTGACTTTCCAAACAGAGCTGGAAAACAGATTCCCTCTAGGTCCCCAGGCAGGATTGCCCAAGCCTGGCAGTCTAGAATGAAGAGTCACCCACTTGCTTTACACACACTTCTCTAGTAGAACTGCTTCATGTTTTTCCCACAGCTTAGAAGAGCCTATGGAAACAAGGCTGGTCTTTTCTTCTACCTCCACCCTTTCTTCTCCAGAGGCCAAGGTTCACCTCCCACTCTCTGGAGGCAGTTCTGGCTTGCTTCCCTTTCCACTGCTAACTGGGTTCCGTTCCTCATGCATTTATAGAGGTGTGAAACTAACCTTCTGTGCTTCACAGCTCCTGCCAACAGCTTTGCCTGAGAGAATTTGTTCTTGCTTTCCACTGACTTCATGGGCAATTTCTTCTCAGTTTCCTTCTTTGGGTCCATGCTGACTCCCACTTTGGTGAGAGTGCTGTGAATTAAGGGTTAAGGATCAAGCAGGAAGGAATGGAGAGAACAGACACTTCCTCTCTGATATCTTTAGGGAGCTCTGCCAGCAGCAGTGACCAAAGTTCATTCACATCTTCTACTAAATAAACTTATTTGTAAAGACATGTAGCTGGCACCTTCAGCCAAGACAGAGGGACTTCATCCTCTGAGTCTGGAGCTCTTTGTAGAAGCCATCCCAGTTCTCTCTGTACAGGTGTCCAGGCAGCAGAGCAGGAGCTGCTGCTCTCAAGTCATAAAGGCACAACCCACCCAGCACCCAAAACACACCCATGGGCCTGGTGCTGCTTCAGGGGTCTTAGAAGAACAAAAAGGTCAGAGTGGACAAAAAGAACAAAAAGGGAGGGGGAAAAAAAGGGCAACTTGATACTTCCCCCTTCTACAGGGATCAACGTATTTGTGTTCTAAGTTTAGCACTTGTCACTTTTCAGCTCAACTCTTTGCGAAGGCCTTAATTCCTGCCACTTTGGCCACCAAGTCCAAGAGCAAGGAGGCAGGTCTGAGTGAGGGTCAGTGTGATCCAATGTTCACCCCAAAAGACTGTGACTGCAGAGGAAAAACTAAGCAGCTTAGAACAGTGTGAGCAAGGTGGGTGCAGCTGAAACCTGTCAGGAGGTGGAGAAGCTGAAGCAGGTTCTTAGACAAGATAAGAAGGACCTTGGTCTGTTATTAAGGCACTCTCCACTAAACAGGTTGTCTTCTGTGGCAGGATCTAGTCCTGCCCTGACAACAGGGCTGGTGCCCACTGTATCTGATGACACATAAAACCACAGGGGTTGGAAGGGACCTCTGAAGATCACCAAGTCCAACCCCCCTGCAGGAGCACCCAGGGCACGTCACACAGGAACGTGTCCAGGTGGGGCTTGAAAGTCTCCATAGAAGGAGACTCCACAGCCTCTCTGGGCAGCCTGTCCCAGGGCTCTGTCACCCTCACAGGAAAGAAGTTCTTCCTCACGTTGAGGTGGAACTTCCTGTGTTGTCAGTTGGTGCAGTTTCCCCTCATCCTGTCACAGGCACCACTGAACAGTCACTGTCCCATTCTTGACACCCTCCCTGCAGGTATCTATAGACATTAATCAGGTCCCCTCTTAGACACGAAGTCCATCAAAGCTCCTGTTAATGAGGTACCAGTGGATTAACAAAATCTTCTGCAGAACTTTTAAATCAGCAATTAGCAAAGACAAATCAGCCTCATTTAAAAGGGTATTATTTGCTTAAAATGCTAAATCGAGCTTTCTCTACCACCCCACTGACCGGGGGACACAACCATCACCTGGAGCTTCACAGGAGCCCCAGTTACTGCAGGTAAAGGGTGGACAGTGCATTTCATAGTGATGGCCCATAGTTTTGAAGTCACAGGGTTGTTGTTTTTTCCCCACTGAACACCTGAATCAAAACCCCTCACACCTGCCTCTGAAGCTCAGAGTCCCCAACCACCCCGGATGCCCTTTCCTTCTGGGAACTTCCTAAGGACACAGCAATCCTCCAGACTGCTCCCTACCTCAACTGAAAGTCTTAACCAGTCCAAACCAGACTGTCCAATTTTACTTCTCTGGCACAGCAGTGCCATCCCGTGGCTACCAGGAGGAACCTGAGAGCTCACTGTGTCCAACACGGATGTTGCACCACACGATCCCACACACTCGTGTTCAATCTCCACGTCTTGGTTCCTTACTCTGTCACATTTGAACACTGCCCTGCCAAAGCCTGGCTGAGGGACCCCAAGACCCGAAAGAATCCAAATTACAGCCTTTTTTCACTTCCATGCAGGATGCCATTGCCCAAATGGAGGAGGGGAGAGAAGGGAAGAAAAAAAAATGCTCTGTACTTGAATATTGGCACAGGTTTTACCATGACATTCACGCCTCTGAGCGGCTTAAAACCAGTGTTATCCCAGGAAAGAGACCAAATATCCAAACCCATTGGGTTGACATTCCTCCTATAAACTCAAAAGAGCACCTGCAGATCCAGCACATTTCAGTGCCCACTTTTTGTCTCTGTAGGGACAATCCATTATTTTACCACAACCTGCAGATACAAATCCTCCTTTGAAAAGAACCCCAGCAAGAAGTTCTAATATAGACGAGTCATCGTGCAAGTTGCTCTGAGGTTGCTTGAAATATTATGGTTAAATAAAAAAAGAAACAGAATGGGCAGTTCTCAGTTTCTTATGAGATGAACACAAACCATTCTGCTTCCCCTCACCCCACCAGCAGGAGTTCCACAGTTTAATTCACAGCAGGCACCACCTCACACTGCACATCCCTGCGTCAGCCACAACCACCAGCAACCATCACTGGGACTAAACATATCCCATGAACACCCATTAGAGCCAACAAAACAAAAAGCATTCCAAATTAATTTACCTGCTCCTGAAGTAAAAAAAGCATCATAATTGCTTTTTCCTAAAGGCATTTCTGAGACAGGGTAGATGCTTCAGAGAACACCTGCTCTAAGCTGTAAAACATTAACACTAGGTACTAAGGATCTCTGTGACAATAGCACCACTCAGCTTTATTTGCTGAGTGGTTCTAGTCACCTCTTTGTGTCCACAAACTCTTTCATTTATACCAAAGCATCCTTGAGAACTTGTGCTTTAAGTCACTGATGACTCAAGAGCAATGGGGTTCATCAGGAGGCAGAAAAACCATCAGGTTCTGCACAGGTTCAATAAACCTCCAACATTTAGCACAGTGCAGAAATCCTCAAATCATTCCAGCCTCCCTTGACTGGCACTGATTACAGAGAAAAAAAATCATATATTATTTTCTAGCACATCTTGATGAAAATTTGGCACTTAACAGCAAAACCAAAGTGTGATTACCCAACGGTGCTGGGTTTCCAAGGGCTCTGGCTTCTGGAAGGAAGTCAGCAGGTCTGCACAGATGCTTCATATGTATTTAACTTATCCTGTGGTTACCAGCAAGGGAAAAAGTGTCTAGTACTTCAAGGAGAATAAGAGATGGTGTAATTCCAACATTATTTCAAACAGGTATGTTAAAAACAGCCAATATGCTCTTTAAAAACACACAAGGATATTTACTTTTTACTAAGAAGACAAAAAGATGAGAAGCAAAAGGCTGGTTTGCCTCTATGTTCTCTCTCTCTTTTTATCTATGTTGTTTCATGCCCTCAGTAATGGAAAGAAAGAAACAATCAGGAGTGGGGAGAAGGAAATAAAAGTACCACAGGCTTATGGGGGGGAGTATATCAAACATGAGTGGGAGACTCGAGCTACAGTGAAAATACTCAACTTCAAAGTCACTCATTGCTGATGTCCTGTGAAGCAGTTTTACAGAAGGTGTCAATGACACAAATCCCAGCTCCTGATGGAGCTGCCATGCAAAGGATATTCTGTACTCGTTGAGCTCTTTCAGCTCCTCTTCTCTCCGTTGCTTTTCTAGTAGCTCTTGCTGCCGAGAAACCTCATCAAGGAAATGGGTCTCATCTTCATCTAAGCCTCTCACCATATTTTCTGAATAAAGGAAAGAATGCACATGGATAAGCCCAAACCACTTAGGGAGGAGCCATTTCTTTTGCCTGACTTCACCATTTCCTCAGAACATCTTCTAGTGGTTCTGAACTGCCCCCCAAAGGCAGCTCAGGGGCCACGGCTCAAATGTGACGTTGCTGATGCTGCTGAGGGGGAACAACTGGCACAAAGTCATGGGATAACCCCACAAACTACCTGCTGGATTCTGTAATTAAGAATTGTTATTATGAACTAAATAATACTCTTTGATTATGATTATTATCTAAAGGCTTTCCAGCTCATGATGCTAGATGCTACCAGTACATTCCAGCACACCCACAATGACAGAGGATGGACACAGTTTGAACCCAACTCTATCACTACAGAGAAAAGCAAGACACAATCCATAGGGAGCCATGAGATGTTGCTGGGTTTGATGACATCATTCAGGAAATGCTGCTGTAATTAAGGAAAATCAACAAAATTTTCACAACAGTAGCCTCTGTGAACACTGTTTGGAAGGGGTAACACCAACCAGGAAGAATCACATGAAGCAATGATGGCTCATGGGTTTGGTTCCAGCCACTGTCAAGCCCATCCCCCCAAAAACTGTCCTTAAACCAGCCAGTAACTGGAAAAACCATAGAGTTTCTCCCCATAAATCTTGCCTCAAAATAGGAAGTGCACATTCCTAAAGCAAATCATGAGTAACTTGGGATTAACAAAAAAAAGCAGAAGCAAGACAATCCCTAACTTCCAAATAAAAATCAATCCCTTCTCAACAGGCAGCTCTGCTGGTAGGAAAGGAGACAGTGGTGCAGTAGGAAGATCCTTTATTTTCTGCTCTGCAAAAGGGCAATGTTCCTCAATCCAACCTAAAAAAATTTATCTATTTTTCAGAAAGACCAAGTCTTGCTGCTTGTGGTCAGCCTGAGAAATCTTAACCCAAACAGCACCTTCAGTCTTCATTCCAGTTTAATTTCCCAAGAAGATTTTTTGGCTTTTCCACCTGTTTTTTTGATCTTCACCCCCACAGTCAAGTCCCAATCACTAATATCAAGCTAAGAAATCCATTTCCCCTGATCATTGGCAAGTATCTGTGTCTGACAGAAGAGATCTAGAGATCCGTTATTATTTGAGGTTACATTTCCTACCCTTTCCAAGTCCAAGAATGCAGGGCTCATTCCAGCACTTGGTTTACAGGTTTCCTGAACCAAAGGGAAGACATTGCAGATCTCCAACAACTGGGTAAGGGAAAAAATTAATTGAGGCAGTTACTAGAAGCCTCTCCCAGCCAGGTTGACAGCAGGCACTTTTCTGGTGGCTCCTTAGACAAGAACTGCTTAGTCACATCACCAAAGCTGACTGGGATCAGAAGTTGACTGAAATAAACCCTCCAGCTGGGAAGGATCCTGTAGGTACAGATGGAGACTCCAAGGCACTTCTCACCACAAAAAACACAAGAGAAACTTCAGAGACAGGAGGAGACTTCTACTGACCATAATCATTCAGAAAGAAAACGTCTAAAGCTGTACTGCAGAGAATACTGTGTTATTTTTCATTCCAAATGCTGTAACTTTCTATGAAAATTATTATCCTTGGAAGAGGAAGACACTCTTGCAAGGCTGAAGAACCTAGCAGAAGGAAATGCTGGTCTGTGTACCTGTTTTTATCTACACAAAAGGTTTAGAGAAGCCAAGTCTGTGTTCATGTAAACACAGCTCTTCCCAAGTCTCATCCTTCATTCTGATGCAAAGGACTCCCCACTTCCTACATCTGTAATTCCCAAGGACAGAAAAAAGACTGAGTATTTTAAGGCAAATCCAAGTATCTTAGGGAACAAATCTTGTCACAAGTTGCCAAATTGGGCAGGAGTGTTACCTAACAGGACTGAAAGCTTGTGCCAGACTTAAAGGTACTTAGTTGATGGGGCTTTGTGCAACCTGGTCAGTGGGAGGTGTCCGTGCCCATGCAGGAAGGCTGGGACCTGATGATCTTTAAAGTTCCTTCCAACCTTCACCATTCTAAACCACAGTTTTATGTAAGAGGAATTCCAGACAGAATCCAGTTGCCAACTGGAGCTTAAAGAACATAACTGGGAGGGTAAAGCTTCCAGCTAAAGAACCAAAACTGATCAGAACCCACCTGAAAATGAAGTCCCACAGTATCATCCTCATTTCTCTTTAGACAGAGCCAATAGTTCCCTTTTCCCAAAATGGTTGACTTAAGAATTTTCTAGTTCTCATGAGAATCCTTGCACTCAGCAGCACAGACAAGAGGTGGTACAATGCAAAGGCTTTTTCTAGAAAACCAGAAATTCAAACACTAGTAGAAATTAGGTTTCAATTTAATTTGGAAGAGTTAAATATTTCCTTTCTGAATCAACTCCTGTATGCTTACTTCTTCCAACCAGTAATCTGAGGCCTCACATCAATTTTGTATCAACTAATTCCAGCTTGGAAATGTAAGAGCTGCTGCAAGAGGATTTCTTTGCATTGATTCAAATAGGAATCAATAAAAAGCGGTGTTAAAGCAGAAGCTCAAGAGTCACCGAACCAGGTTACACTTCCAGGGATTGTTTTTTTTGTATTGAATGTGCCCAGTACGCCTAGTGTTCCACCCTGTCCAGGAATGCAGCTTCACAGCTGGCAGTTAACTTTGGAGTTTCACATGTGAGCAGTGCTCCCTGGCTGCCCACCACCTGTTACCTGCAGGAATATCTGCCACCCTTGAAAAATTCAGGGTTTCAGGAATACTTTTCTGAAGTCTCTCTCTTGGAGAGGCAGACAAGACACATAGGCACATGCCTGGTGTTGTTCAGACCTGCTGCACACAAGGAAGGAGGTTTGGTGGGGTTTGGGTCAGAACAGTGACTGTTGGTGCTTACTGAATTTAAATTGCTCCTCAAACTCCTGCTGCTTCTTCTCTCTCTGCTCCTGGAGTCTTTCATACAAGGAGCGTGGGTCGTAGGCCTCCTCTGGGCATTCTGAGGGGAAGGAACAAATCAAGACATGTTAGAAATCACCAAGAGTTTAGCTCCTTCATGTAAAAACCCTCTGACCTTGCAGAATACAAATCACCTTTTGGTTCCCTTTTCCACAAAAGTGAAATATTCTCCCATCTCTTCCCTATAACTATTCACATCCCCCCCATACCTTTCGGATCTTCAGGTTTCCGGACCTTCTCCCACTCCTCTTGTCTCCTCTTCCGCCGCTCCTCGAGCTCCGCCTCAGACACAAACCTCTTGTTGATCACCAGGTCAGCAGTTCCATCACCCCCATCCATTGTGGAGCTGCCCTAAAAAGACCACGGGAGACACCAGGCCCTGACTGCCCTGCACACCAAGTGCTGATGGGCACAGCTCCTCACTGCACAGCGACTGACACCTCCAGCTCCTCCTCCTGCCTCACTCTTCCCCACCAGGAGGGCCCCCCGGCTGCCTGTCCCAGGCTGCTCTTCCAAGTGTCACACTTGAATGGAATTTTGCTCAGCCCACCTTGAATTTACCTGGCTGAAAGACATTTTTAAATTAAAACAATTTAAAAAAACCCACAACCCCCCCCACATATGCTTTTATTTCAGTTCTTCCACCTCTCTGCTCTAAGAGAGACACTCTGCCCTCATTTTACCTCATTTCTTCCAAAAAATTCTGGAAAATGTGGAGAAAAATCCCCTGTTTACACTGATTCCCAGCAGTGCTCAACAGTGAGAAGGGAGAAATGAGCAACTAGTCTCAAAAGCCTTCAACTAGCCTTCAAAAGCACTTTCCACCAGTGCAGGCTGGGGGGGGCTGTGTGCCAGGGGTTCAGGAGGGGAGAGAAAGGGGGAATTCCCTTGGGCTGGAGCAGGGCTGGGACTGGAGACCAGGAGCAGCCCCTGTGAGCCAGGAGCAGAGCACCCATGGCACCCAGCACACCCTCCCTGCCCCAGGAGCAACCCCCAGCCAGCACTGCCCAGGGACCAGCTCAGCCCCGGGTGCAGGGGGATGCTCTGAGAAGTCCCCTGAGAGGGAAACTCCTCAAGCCCAGGGTCTGTGCAAGTCCCAGAGTGGCTCCTGGTTGGACTTGGTGATCCTGAAGGTCTTTTCCAACCCAGGGAATTGTGTGATTCATTTCAGGATTTCTCCTGCCAGCTCCAGGCTACAGAGTGAAACCCTGGGATTGTTTCACACTTCCAGCCAGTCCATACAAGTCCAAGGTCAACCCCAAACACAGCTGCTCCTTTTAAGTCAGGATAACCTGTTTTTTTCTAGTTCCTTCTTATTCCCTTCCTAGAACCCCAACCCATAGCTCAAGGACTACAGATCATTGCCCCCTGCATAGGCAAACATTCTTCATTCAGGATCTCATCCTGCATTTCAGCCCTGGAGAAGAACCCTCTGCATTTCTTCTTCCAGGAAGAGAGGATGCAGCCCCCCAAAGGATAGGTAGAACCAGTTTGTTATCCTTCCTTCATCCCCCATCCTGCAGGAAGCAGAGTCCTGGAATTCTCACAAAACCTGATGTTTTTCTGGGGCACAGTTTGTAGCACGAATGACAAGTTGAAGTGTCAGGAGAAATCCAGGTCGGAGCACTGGGCAGATGTTTGTTACAGCAGGATGGGAATTCCCAGAAGAAAAGACAAAAGGATTCTGGTAAGAAGTGGGGAAGGGAAGGACAGACCAAGACCTAGTGATTTTATCTTTTGTTTCTACTTTCCTTCCTTCTTCTTGTTTCTTTTTCAACACCTAACAAAAATCCACCCTCAGGCAAGTCCATTTTCCCAAAAGTCTGGAACACCTGCCCTTAAGGGGCATTTCTGAAGGTGGTTCGAGCTGGAAACACAGAGCAGGTGATAACTGAATCTCCCTCCTGAATCCACGTGCAAATGCCAAGACCAGCTTCCCACCCAAGTGCTGCAGAAACAAGGTGACCTGCTCCTCCACTTGTGTCACCTCAACCCCATCCACTTAGGGAGGAAATGGGAGGTTCCTACACCTGGGTGACAAGGTCATAAAAATTCAGTGAAAGGGGCACTGAGGAAGGGAAGTCCTGAGGGGACTGAAGCCTTCAGCACCAAACCTGCTGCCTCTGCTTCACCCAGCTCCTGGGGACAGTGTATGGAAATGTATCTGAGGTGGATTAAGGTTTAATTTAGAGTTGACACACAGCTCCAGTGCTTTCACTACAATCCTGGAAACTAGTATCTGATCTAACACATTTCAGCAACCAACAACTTTGCTGACAACATCTTGAGGCTCAAAAACGGGGCAAAAATGAAACTCAAACAGTATCATGTGCCAGTACATTTGTACTTCTGAAATTGGCTAATCCTGCTGGATTCCCTGCCCTCCCCCACCTCACACACACTGACACACACAGACACTCACACACACACACAGACACTGACACACAGACACACACACACACACACACACACACACCCACACACACACACACACACAGACACACACACAGACACACAGACACACACACACACACACACAGACAGACACACACAGACAGACACACACACTGACACACAGACACACACACACACACACACACACACACCCACACACACACACACACACAGACACACACACAGACACACAGACACACACACACACACACACAGACAGACACACACAGACAGACACACACACTGACACACAGACACACACACACACACACACACACACACCCACACACACACACACACACAGACACACACACAGACACACAGACACACACACACACACACACAGACAGACACACACAGACAGACACACACACTGACACACAGACACACACACACACACACACACACACACCCACACACACACACACACACAGACACACACACAGACACACAGACACACACACACACACACACAGACAGACACACACAGACAGACACACACACTGACACACAGACACACACACACACACACACACACACACCCACACACACACACACACACAGACACACACACAGACACACAGACACACACACACACACACACAGACAGACACACACAGACAGACACACACACTGACACACAGACACACACACACACACACACACACACACCCACACACACACACACACACAGACACACACACAGACACACAGACACACACACACACACACACAGACAGACACACACAGACAGACACACACACTGACACACAGACACACACACACACACACACACACACACCCACACACACACACACACACAGACACACACACAGACACACAGACACACACACACACACACACAGACAGACACACACAGACAGACACACACACTGACACACAGACACACACACACACACACACACACACACCCACACACACACACACACACAGACACACACACAGACACACAGACACACACACACACACACACAGACAGACACACACAGACAGACACACACACTGACACACAGACACACACACACACACACACACACACACCCACACACACACACACACACAGACACACACACAGACACACAGACACACACACACACACACACAGACAGACACACACAGACAGACACACACACTGACACACAGACACACACACACACACACACACACACACCCACACACACACACACACACAGACACACACACAGACACACAGACACACACACACACACACACAGACAGACACACACAGACAGACACACACACTGACACACAGACACACACACTGACACACACACAAATTCCTCCAGACCAGATAAAACACACAGTCTGGAAACGATCCCCTATGTTGTGGCCTGGTGAGAGTGCCCTGTGAGGGACACTGGGCACGACAGAAGCGTCCCCCCTGCCAATCCCCCCCTCTTGACCCCGCCAGGACTGAGCTCTGTGAAACTCCACGGCCCTCGCGGTCCCGGGGCCGCACAGACCGGGGGCCGAGGCGGGTCCCGACCCCCCCATAACGGGCCCGTCCGCCCG